GCTTGTTCCCATAAGGAAGGAGTGTTGGGTTTCAACAAGCAGTTGGATTCATCTTTAAGTACCACGACAGAGTGCTAGACTAGTTTATGATGCGGCTAGTTCATCCTCTACCAAAGCATGAGACTCTCCTAGCATCAGTTTGGGATGCTCTAGAGTAGTGGCTCTCAACTGTCTTACTGCCTTGACCCTTTATTACAGTTCCTCATGTTGTAGTGATCCCAACCATAAAAGTATTGCCGTTGCTACTTCATAACTATAATTTTGCTACTTATATGAATTGTAATGCAAATATCTGGCATGCAGGATATCTGATACACAACCCCTATGAAAGGTTTGCTTGGACACACTCCTACCCAGGGCTTTCTACCCACAGGTTGAGAAGCACTGCTCTAGATGTTCAGTGAGTTCTCTTCCTCCTGAGTAGCCAGAAATAGGGTAAGTCTCCCAACCTGCAGAGCCCTGTATTGTGCAGCACCAGAGCATTTGTTCCTGCCCTGCGTGGCTCAGGGAGTCAGACCCTCGGCTCATCGGTATTGTTTCAGATTCCCTATAAATCCCTGCTCCAGGGCTTCTGATCTATCCCAGCTTTCACCTACCTATCCTTCTCTGAGCAAAAATTCTGCCTCCGTTTTCTCTCTTAAAGGTCAACACAGTACCATCCAGGGTCCAACGTCTGAAAATAAGCTTTTTGCATATTAGTCCTATTTTTCCAGCCAATGACAGTGGGAAGAAAAAATTCTTCTCACTCTCACAGATATGCTTGACTTGATATGAACCGTATTCATTCAGTTAATACTGTCCCAATTTGATTTCAGTTAAGGAAGTCTTGGGAAATGCAGGCAAATATTCGTGTAGGGAGTCAAAGTGTTGGCAGATGATGGTTAGTACTAAAGAGCATCCCCACCTGTTTCCTCATCACCCAGAGATGGAGGGCTGGGCTTGTGGCCCCATGATAGAGTGCTTGTTTGGCATACACAGTGCCCTGGGCTCTATCCCTAGGATGGAATTTTTAGACACAGCTTTAAAACAGAAAATAGGATGTTGTCTTTACATCCTAACCAGCCTTCAGTGACTGGTGACCCTCAGCTATGAACCAGAAAGGCTGTAATTGGGAACAATGTCCTTCTGTCCCATGTCATATAGAAGTAGGAATATTTGTCATGAAACCCTAGAAATGAGTTAGTACTATGTATGTCCACAAAGTACTTGACCTTATATCTATGTACAGTGTAGAATTCATGCCACTTCAGAAATTATACAATCTCTTTCACTTCAAAACTGTATTTCTAAAATCCTTTCTTCCCTTATTCAAACTACTCAGAGTTTATTTTTTACCCACATGATGAGTTTTAAATGTATTCCCCCATAGTTATAACAGTTATAAACAATACCAAATTCATGTGGCTGGTACTCTGAAATGGTGTGTTGGGAAAGCAATTCAGGTTAAATGAGGTTGGAAGGATGGGACCCTGTCTTGACATAGTGACTTTATAGGATGGGGAGGGAGGCTGAGTAAGTATGCATTCTGTCTTCCAATTATGTCCTCTGCCATGTGCCTTCACCAGAAGGTCCCAGCAACATGCACTAAACAAAATTCTCTTGTTTATAAATTATTTAGTTCTGGGTATTTTGCTAGGGCACCAGAGGATGGACTAAGTAAGTATTTACATATAAACACACACACACACACATACATGCAAGCATACATAAACACACACACCATTTATGAAATTCCTGATACAATGACAATCTTTATTTTCTTCCAAAACACAGGCTTTGCTAGTGAGAGATGGTTACAGGAAAAATGATTGCTGTAGTGTAGTTCATGTATGCTAATCTTATTTCTCATCAGTCAGGCATCTGAGTTGGCCTTTGTTACTTCAGAGAAGAAAAAGAGATGTAAACCAGGACCGTGGAGGTTGTAATTACTCAGGGGGAGGCACAGGGAGGCACAGGGACGTTGACATGTGCTAGCTGGAAACCAGAACTGTTTTGGGTACCAATTGCTTCTGTTTTCTGTTGTTGAATGTAGAGTAAACTACTGTTACCGAGAAACTGTTCCTATTCTTGTTTGACTAGACAGAATTGTCTATTTAAGGTAAATTGGGCAGAAACAATTATTGGCATGAATCCTTCTAAAAGCCTGCTGCCTCCCCGATTTCTGCCCCTCTGCTGCCCCTCTGTGGTGATTTCCTTGTTCCAATGTCTCAACTGCATGTGGTTCCTCATGACTCACCCCAGGCTTCCTCAACACTAAGTTAATCTAGTCATTTTCAAGAGACTTTTTCTTTATTATCACTTTTTCTTTATTATTATTGTATTGGTTTCCTATAATCCAGGCTAGGTTCCAACTTACTGTATAGCTAAGGCTGGTCTTGAACTCATAACCTTCTTGCCTCTACCTCCCAAGAGCTGGAATTACAGCAATGCACTGCCACCACTCAGCTCTAAGGAGCACTTTTGAAACACCCTAACTAGGCTGATAAACAGCTTCTTCATGGTGCTCTCTTCCCTAACCCACACCACCTGACTCAGCTGTGAGTGAGTGACTCCTATTCAGGGTTCAAACTGTTTTCCCAAGGGACACATGCATGAGATATACTCCTGTCACAGAATAATGGAACATAGCAGGTTCCTCCTTGCAACACCAATGCCACTTGTTCTAGGATCCATCTACTTCCAAACCCAGGCTCATTTACTGGGCTTGGGGCTTCAGTTTGTAGAGACAACGATAGTATCCACTAAAATGGCTCTTCTGAGGATGAATGTTTATGAAGGTACTTACATACCTGACACAGTGAAAGTTGCATTAACTGATGGTAATGAATGGCTGTTGTTGTAGATATTTGTGTCTTGAGAAACAGAACTTACAAGCAGCTGTGGCTTTGCTGCTCCTGGTGACTCTAAACTAAATGCAAGGGTTCGTGTGCCCTGCTCTAGTTGTTCCTGCCTCCAGATCAATCCTGTCTCGGATTTTCTTTTTGTTGTGGTTCCTGTTTTTTTCCTGTTAAACGGTGTTTTTTTTTTTTAAATCAAAATCAAAACAAACCACATTTTGAATAAATTTGCCTAAAGGAACTGTCACTACCTTAGTCTTCTAAGAAAAGTAATATAATTAAAAGTAAACCAGAAGACTGAAGGAAAAACTTCACTTCTAGCAAATTTACAAACAATTCCCTATTGTGATGTTTTATTGAGACATGACATTTCAAGCCAATGTTTCTTCTTTCTGGTTATTATTTTTCTGACAGAATAAATGTATTTCTGTTGTAAAATGTTAGAGGATAAACAACTCGATTTCAAAGTGTTGACAAACACATCTTAGAGCAAATTCTCATTAAGACACCAGTGAGTTCACAGTCATCTCTTTTCTAAAGCTGCCCAATAAATCTGTAAAGGTGGGATCTTATGTACTGCATAATGGAAGACCCACGGGGGTGGGGAGCACATCTGAAATCTAGATAGACAACAGAGAGGCTAAGGCTTTAGATGTATTTAATGTTAATTAAGTTTACTGTGCATTATTATATTTCCCAGCTTTATTTATGATTCACAAAACCCTGTGTAAAGTATGTGTACAATGTGATGGTTTCTGATTCATATATATTATGAAGTGATTTCTACACTCAGCTAGCAGAACATCATATTTACTGGGTATTTATGTGTGGCATGTATGTAACATATGGGGGAGTAGTGAGTGTATGGTATTTGTGTGTGGTGTGTATATGTGTGTGGGTATGGTATGTATGTATACAGTGTATGGATATGGTATGTGGGTGGTATACGATGTGTAGAAAGTGTGTATTGTGTGTGTGGTATATGTTTGAGTTGTGTGCATATGGTGTGTGTGTATGGTGTGTATGTGTATGTGATATATGTAGTGGATGTTTGTGTGGGTGGTGTGTGTAGGGGGAGGAGGTGTGTGTGTGTGTGTGTGTGATGTCTGGTATATGGTGTATATGATACAGTATTAACTATTAATCATTATGCTGTACCCTGGATATTCTTCGTCTTACTTCTGCAAGTTTGTACTGTGACCAATATCTCCTTACCTCCCGCCCCAACTCCCAGACCCTAGGAACCACAACTCTGTTCTCAGATCTGCACCTAGAGAACCCGCCTTACTGTAGGATTGAGGCTAGACTTTTCATGTTTGTTTGACATTTTCTGTAGTGTTGATGTCAAGGAGGTTTGGGGACCACTTCCAGGCAAGCTGGGGAAAAAATAACTATCAAGGATTACACTTCAATGGAAAGATTTTGATTGACAAAGTAATAAAGAATGGGGCAGTTGCCTTAAAACAATACATTACATGAAAAACACCTTTGATAATTCTTTTAATGTACAAACTAGAAAATTACAACAAAGGTTTAGCCTTTACCAGATAGAGATGGCATAGATGTCAAAGTGATCTGAATGCAGAAAACATGGTGCTACTCAGCCTTGCATGTGTGTTTCTACGCGACAGTAAAAGTAGCTGACCCTGAGCATTTGAACCTCGCAGCTCACAACTGCCTATAGCTGTAGCTCAAGGGGGTCTAACACCCCCTTCAGGCCTCTCCCTCAACTCTCTTCCTACCCTCCCTCCCTCCCTCCCTGTCTCTCTCCCTGTCCCCCTCCCTGTCTCTCTCTCCCTTCCTCTCCCTCTCCTCCCTCTCCTCTCTCTCTGTCTCTCTCTCCCTCTCCCCTCCTCCCTCCCCCCTCCCTCTCCCATGTCGCTCTCACATACACACATCATAAATAATTTTAAAGTGTTTTTAATGCTTTCTGCTATCCTCTAAATGCAATTCCCCAAACTTTTCAGAACTGCATTATTCTCAGGTAGCGCACGGTAAGAAAGGTCTGGAAAATCAAAGCTGTATTACTGGAAAAAAATTCATGTTTCTCTGTAGGGAAAGTCACAACTCTTCCAAGGCCCTTCCAGAAAAGCACAGAAGCTCAGGTTTAAGGACCCCTCAGACAGCAAAAGACCCATCTAACCCTCACTTCTTTCTTTGCAGCCTTGCTCACTGATGACCTCACAGATGCCATTCTCTGTGCCAAGAAAATTGTTAAAGAGACACAAGGGATGAACTATTGGTGAGTGTTTCCTTGGGAGACTCGATCTGACCTGGGTGGGACCTACAGTGCATCCCTTCATAGTGGCTAGGATGCGCGTGGAAAATGGTGCCTGCAGAGTAGTCCAAACAAGGGAACATGACTGGTTTCCATTCACCCCCATGAGAGTGAAGGTCCCAAGCAACACAGTACAAGGGACAGGTATGGGCAAAGTCTTGCTGTCATGTGAAGGAACGGGCTCCATCTATCACATCTATCAATACACCAGGGGGCAGGGAGCCTGACCTTACTCTAAATTCGTGTGAGATTTGGAGTCTGCAAGAGGATCTGGTGAGGAAGGTAATAAACAGCAGCAAGGATGAAAACTCGAGCCTGTAAATGACAACTAGCAGGATCCACTTCTGAGCAGGCGCTTTCATCTCTGTGGCTGTGTTTCTAATGAATGCTGCTGCTAATCAGGCTTCCGGGTTGCTAGTTCAGAGCCAGCCAGGGCTCTCATTGATCTGTCCTGACAAAAGCAGTTTGCTTGCTGGGGAGGCAAATAGCGACTAGGAGGAAATGGGGTGAGGGAGGAGGGACACAGACAGGCCTTAATGAGACAGAGAGACAAAGGAATGGAAACTTTAGCTGTCTGAAGCATGTTGAACCCTGAGTACTCCTCCCAGGGTTGCATCTAAGGTCACTGGGGCTGGCATGCTTCCTCCTGCCGGTCCCATTTCCATCTCCTCCTCAGGCAGGGCTGGAAGAAACACTGCGAGGGCAAGGACATGTCTGAGTGGAAGAGAGGATGCGAGGTGTCCTGATTCGGAGCAGGGGCAAGGACGCTTTGCTGTGACTCCCCAGATATGTAATGAGTATGTATCCCTCACAGTATCCCTTCTCAAAGTTGGAGAGGGATCCCAAGCGGTATTTTAAAGGAAATAAATATTTCCATTTATATGTCTTCACTTCCCTCTGGCTTGAGTTCAATGATGTCATAATAACTTGATGGTGTTAAGACTTGGAACATCATCTCTGACATGTTGAAGACCTGGAGAGAATACACTTTCCTTCCTTGCTGTAAAGGTTCCTAAGTGTGTAGCCCTGACATGTCTGCTCATTGGAAGCTGGGCTTCTGAAGGCCAAAAGATGCACTGGGGAAGGGAGAGAAAAAGCTCCCAAGCCAGTTCGCCAACTCCTACATTCCCAAGAGCGTGTGACCATTCTTTCTAGTCAGAGCACATGCATCACTTTCTCAGATCAGAACTGCTGGAGAGAACATTCCTGCATCTGAGGTGGAACCCTGATGACAACTCTAGTGGAATAAAAAGGTGAAATCACAGTTATTAGCACCAACATCTAGAGCAATGGATCTCAACCTGTAGGTGTCACATATCATATCAGATATTCTGCGTATCAGATATTTACATTATGATTCACAGCATAGCAAAATTATTTATGAAGCAACAATGAAATAATTTTATAGTCGGGGGTCACCACAACTTGAGGAACTGTATTAAAGGGCTGGTACATTAGGAAGATTGAGAACCACTGATCTAGAAACTGCCCCCAGTTACGATACAATATCCACTTAAATTAAACCTACCAAATTCCAAAGCAACATTAGATTATCCACATAACTGTTAGATTCAAAAGAAACTCCAGGCAAATGGCTGTGTTGTCTATCAGCATGCCAAAGTACATGCTGGCTTCCAGGCTCTCAGCATCTCACCTGTTACAGAGTCTCTGGCTCATCTCGGTTCTTCTCACCCTACACTCCCTAACCCTAAACTTTAGCTCATGGGCTTCCCGTCTCCTGGCTTCTCATTCCTATATAACCATGTCATTTCAGCACAGCCATGTCCTCATTGTACACAATGACAAAATGGTTTTCATCTCCAGACATGCAGATTGAATGAGCTTGGCCAGGAACCTGATAACCACATGACCACGCTGCGGTGGCCTGAGGACATCAACCCCAGAGATATTTCTAGGATGGCTATGCTGGACATGGGCGTGTCTCTCTCTCCTGATGCACACAGCAGGATGGCTCTGCCCAGGGAATTCATGTCCATTTTCCTGTACATATCTTTCTGTCCTACAGGGCCACAGTTGGTTGAAGCTTTGATTCAACCTGCTTTGTTCTAAGATTGAGGTGAAAATAGGCTCTTGTTGAGTGCAATATGATCTAGACTGCACCAAATTAAGGTTTGTTGTTGGAGAAATGGTTATAAAGCAATAAGCCTCTGTTAGAACAAAGTCCTCACAGACTGATGAATATTGTCCCAACACCTACAAAACCCTTCAGTGACTATTGCCACTGATCAGCTTTGACTGCTGATCACTTCATATTAGTTTAACTTGCATATTTCTTCTTTGAAAAATCATAATAGCTGCTTGTCAAAGAATATGCGACAGTATTACCACAATTTAACAAGCATCATAAACCATGGGAGAAAAAAACTTTTGAAATACATCTAAGAATTGAAAGACAGTTCTATAAGATGACTTGAAAAAAACTGAAAAAACAATGTAGGTCCCATTAAGGTCCACTAAATCAGTAACCTGTGCCTATGGAAGTCCATAAATATGTATTTTCACTGTTATTACCCAGTCATCCATCTGTCCTGCAGGCCTCATACTTAGCGGAGTTCCTGCTTCATTAAAACCAGTGGCACCAAGTTAATGAGTGAGGTTGGCACAGACCTGGCGCCAGCCATTCAATGGCTAGGGGAAGAAAAAAATCCCCAAAGTTCAAGATAATGGGAAGCTTGCTAGCACTATGAGATTGATTTTTTTTTGTAAAACTCATAAAATCTTCAAGCATGCAATCTTACTATTTTCTCCCCAAATGTTTTATTTATTCAGTATCTCTATAAATACTAATTTAGGATGGAAAATATAAATTTCCATAATTAATGCCTCAGAAATGCAAGAGGAAATGATTACTTCTATTCTTAGATTATCTTTACTTGACAAAACCTCACTGTGGTTTCCATGACACCCGGAAGCAGACTTTCTTCTTTACTTTCCCATGACCACCACATCAGCAGGGCTACCAGTGATCACTGGTCAGGTGGTTAATAGCAGGGGTGTGTTATGAGCACACTTCTTTTCCTTTGGGGACTGGTTTTTGAGAAACCCCTCCCAGAGCATCTCTGCCCTTTGCATCCCAGCTTGCTCTCTGGTGTCCCTAACACTTTCTGGTCTGGTCTGCCATCTTCCTTGACACCTCCAGTGTCTAGCATTCTATTCCCCCTCTAGAGACTGGATCTTGCCTACAATGGAAAACCTGGCTGCTTGGCTGCAACTATAGCTCAGCCCAACCCACATGACACTTCCTTCGTCTTTCCTCTGAGCTCATATCATCCAGGGCTGGTATTCCTATCCAGTCTGTAAACTCCTTGATGCCTAGATTTTCTCTTTCACTTTCTAAGTTTCTCACAGTCCCTTTTGCAGTAATGACCACCTAATAGTTGATTATCAAAACTCTAATGCTGTTTGGTTCTGCTGGGTGCCTGGAATGACCGAAGGAATACAAGTGTTGTCTTGCATTTATGACGCTTTAATTTTCAAGACGCTGCTGGTAATAATCTTGGCTTTGGGCAGAACATGCTGCATTTTCTGCTGATCGCTCAGGTGCCAACTGGGGAAGCATCTCTCTACCCCCACAGTGTAACACACATTTATCTCACCTTATTCTTCTATGGGATAAACAGAGAGAAAGATGCTATCATGTGAACTCTAGATCTGGAATGTTCCTTGAAGGTTCATGGTTGCAAGTTTGGTCCCCAGCTCATAGTGCTATTGGAAAGTGTTAGAAACATCAGAGGCTGGGGCCTAGCTCATCGGGTAAGGGCACTTTGTATGTAAGTTTAAGGACCCAAGTTCAAATCCCTAGAACATATGTCTTTTAAAAAGCAAGATGCAGTTGCATGTGCTTTTAACTCAGCACTATGGGAGAGGAGACATCAGGATCACTGGGGCTTGCTGGTCATCAGCTTAGCCCAGGTTCAGCAAGAGACCCTGTCTCAAGGAAATAAAGCAGAAAATGAAAAGATGTCTAGTGTCTTCCCCTGATCTTTGTACATGTGCATAGTCACACCTGCCTGCACATACATTCCAGGTGTGCAACATACACACAAAAAGAAAGTAAGAAATATTTTAGAAGGTAGAGTCTTCATGGAGAAAGCATGCCACTGGGGATGTACCTTTGAAGGGGCACAGAGGTCCTCATCCCTTCCTCTCTTTCTGCTTCCTGGCCAACATCTCTCCATCCCAAGGCTCTGTGTCACCATAGAGATCATGACTCACGACCCTGAAACCTTAAACCAAAAGACATTTTCTTTTGTTCCTGGTGCTTTGTCTCACTGGCTGGATTCTAGCTGACTCAGAGGTTAACTCAGAGTCATTGGGTGGCAGAGAAAGAATGAACCTCCCTACACACACAGACACAAAGGGGACCCTTCTGGCCACTGAGGCTCCTCACGGCCGATGTGCTGTGTGCCAGGCTGTGGCATTGTCCCAGCCTTGCTTTTCCTCACCTTACTAGTTAAATCTCCAATTATAGTAGAATATTTATCATGAAGCACAAAGGAAACTATTTCCCAAAACTACAAAAGTGAAATCTCATTTAATAGCTACAATTATTTTTTCTTCTACTTTATCTGCTCAGTGTAAAGTACTTTATTTTGTACCTCTCTCTCTTTTGCTCACTATACCACAAGAGTACTGCCATAGAAATATTTTCCAAAATAGTCACATGGAAGAACATGAGAATTCTCATGATTCCCCATAGTTCATTTCCTCTGCAGTTGTAACTTTGAGTTAACCAATAGCATTTTCAGACCTTGGACTCTAAGCCAAATTCTACAAAATACCCTTTCTTCTCTCACTGTTTATTCTGCTCCAACCTTCATCCAAACTCCTCACTGCACTTTTACGGCCTCTGTCATCCCGTGGCTTTACCACTTAGGGGTGACTTTGAAGGCGTTTAGAAGCACAGTGTTGATCACAGTCTCAAACAATTAGGGTCTGTTATCTGTCATTGGTTGGTACTGTAATGGCAAATCACAGTTTCACCATCCCTGGACACAGATCAAAGCCAATACCAAACAGAGCCAAGAGCTCGGAAGAAAGTACCAGAGCCAACTCCGTGACTAGCTGTGTGCACAGGCAAGGTACCCTATGTTTGCATCTCTCTTGCACACTGGGAGTGGTAAGTGCCATACATAGCATGGAAAGGGGATTGTCACAGAAGCAGGAGCACAAGCCACAGTGCGGACATTAACAGTAGTTACTGATGCTGCTCAACTATTCACTTGCCCTTCTCCAGTATGTTCTAGTAGGTGACCTCTCACAGGCTCTGCAAACAGTTCTCAGGAGTGACCATATTTTGCATGAGATAATGAATGGCTCGCTCCAAAGGAAAAGGGATCCTGACTAAAAGAGAGCCCTGTGAAACTGTGGTTGCATCTATTTTAAAAACTCTCTGCAACTGTGATTTCCAAGCTACAGGGAATAAATAAATAAATAAATAAATAAATAAATAAATAAATAAACCCCACCCAACTCCGTGGCTAAATTGTCATGGCTGCTCCTTACCACATCCACACCAACAGCACAATTCTTGGTGAGGAAGAAAAATCTAAATCTATAGTTACCTTGAAAAGCATTCATGCAAAAATAAAGGCCAGATTCAGAGTGATCCGACTTCTGCATTGCCTTTCAAAACGGTATCCTGTTACCGACTAAAGCAAACAGAGCAGTTTGGAGCTGACTAGCTGCGCAAAAGGGCAGATTGGAAAAGATTAAATATTTGTGCAAAAAAAAAAAAAACAACACACACCCCCTTCACAAAGGGCTGCCTCAGGAAAGCAGGGGAAGGAGACAGGAGCTAGGAGAGAGCCTTATCTTTGCAGAGCAAGGCTGACTGGGGAAGGAGGATGTGGAGAGAAAACACCAGAGG